CTCACACCCAAAAGATACCTAATAGTCTCACTAGTTAGTCCCTCTAGAAACTTATCAACAAGAATGGCTTCTCAATCTATGCAAGTCATTGCAGGTAGGTTTTTCCATGCAACTGGTGCAGATCATTATCAAAGATACCCAAGTTCTCGGATCGACACCTTCAAACCTAAACCTCAGCTTAGTGTATTGCTCAGTTTCTACCAGGTCTAAAATGTTAGCAACACTTGGTAATAATATCATAGTTCCTAAGTTGTGCTTCACTCAAGTGTTTGGTTGCATCAAGGGCTGAACCATCCAAACTCAAGGTAAGGCACTGCATCACCTATTCCCTAGTCCAGCCAGTGACCTGCCTGAAATAGTTCACGAAGTGATTTAGAAATTCTTTGTTCCCTCTCTTGTATGTCAGAATGACATGTAATTAGCTCCTGCTATAGTTACCCGTGGCATTAGAATTAACCTCTCACTGGGATGAGACATCCTAAATGGTGGAAGTGCAGCAGAATGGGCTTGTACAGGAACCCTTACTCTTGGATGTGTGTTAGCTCCCTGACTTCTGTTGCAGAATGGTTAGTTATCATCCATTGGCTCTGTCAATCCTAAACTTCTCCACGACCCATGGCAGCATAACTCCCTGCTAATGGAAGCACAAAAATGTTACACTTTCACCAGTCTGTGCCTACAATCTCACTAGCTGGTGAAACAGCTCTTGACTCCAATCTCTCTCTCAGTTAGTTGGGGATAGTATTAAACAGACTAAGGACTGAACTACTCTGGCTGGTGAATGTCTGTGAGTCCTACAGAGACCATCCTATTCAATCTAGAACACTTCAGGCTGCACAACACTGTAATAGTTCTTAGTCATTCATGTCTCCTATGCACTCATGTCAAACCTTAGAGAGAGGCCCCAGTTGGTCATTCTGAGTATACCAGATTCCAGGGTTCATTCTTTACAGGTCCATGGATGTAGCTTAAAAGATGTCATGAACCTTTGCAGTATTGGCAAAAGTCCAAAATACATAATAGAGAAATGTGTTTACACTTAACATTTTCACTTAACCTTCAACTCAAGACTTTAGCGATTGGAAGAGCACGGATAAATATACTTGTCAAGTAAAATAGAAAAAGACATAGAATAACAGGGAGATCATCAAATACCAGTTTTGAGACAAAACCTAGTTTCTTTCAATTTTGACTGAGCCTGCAGCAAAGAAAGAGACTGGGCGCACAGTGAAACAATCGTTATTCTCACAACAAAATCAAAGTTTCTTAATAAGCAAGTGCATCTCGAAACTGAACTAAAATAAAAGTTAGGATATTTTTATATTGTTTCAATGAATTTATCGACAATGGCATTCGCCCTTGTTTAAAACCTGATGAACAACTGTGTGAAGATGTTCTAGATTCTTCCACAACACATACACTACCCACTGGACTAAGGGGCACTTTTAGTACCAAACAAGGGATGTAGTATTCTTGAGTCATCACTTGAATTTCCAGCTAAAAAATAATAATTGTTGTTGCTATTTATAGCATGTCTCATGCTACAGTAATCATTTCTAATAGAAAGCACAAGTGATATATTTGGTGACTAATCCATTAACGAGAGTGAGAGAAGAACTTAATAATTCCTTTGACTGATATTTTATGTTAAGCACAAAAGGCTCCAAGAATATTGAAAACATGAAAACTTATTCATCACAGACGTTCTTTTGCGCAACCTGACACGGAACCGCTAAGCTAAGGTCTGGCAAGCTAATAATCATAATAACATTTAAATTTTCTAAATATTTCAAAAGAGTGCAAAATCTGAATAGATTAGTTTTCTATGGCTGATAACTTCGCCCAATATTATATTGTTACGTCTCCGTTTGTTAATTGATTTTCCGTAACTTCGTTCCGACGAAACTTAAGCGACACAAGTTCTTTCTTAATAAAACTGGTTTATTCTTTCCGAATATAACTTTACCGATACACTTAACTTCAACAATCGCGCTAAAACAAACGCTAATCAACGAACGTCAACAATACTGCTGACAGTTCAATTACTCACTATCTTCACACACATTACCTTGCCGCGTCACGTTGTCCCCTCTTATATATACCCGCCTACCCTATATCTAGTAATTACTAGA